AGCAGCCAGATTGACCAGCGACAGCTCGAACTTGCGCGGTTTGTCGACCCGAGCCCGGTGTCGGAGTCGCCAACCACCCCTGATGGAGCGCCCTCCCGAGCCAAATCGGTCCGCAACAAGGGCTCCACAGAGTCGCTGAAGCCACAGGACGAGGGTGCCGCATTCAACGACGAGCTGGATGCCATCGGCGCCGTCGGAAAGGAGGCACAGCAAATGTCCGTCGGTAGACAGGGTCAGGGACAAGGACAACTGGCGGCCTCGCCCACGAGCCCGGGCGCTGGCGAGCGGGCCAGGCTCGCCCTGCTCAAGCAAACGACGCAAGTCGCCGAGGTAGCCCAGGCACAGGCCCGCGCGACGCTGCGCAAACGCACCAAGCGCAGCGACTCGGTGGCCAGCGCCGACGGGCCGGCGCCCAAGTACCGCACGCGCAGCATGATTATTGTCTACTACGACAGCTACGTGCAGTCGTTTTTTGAGGAGCTGGTCCGATTTGTGTCGGCGCAGCGCAACCTGATGCGTAAGGCGAAGATGGCGGCGAAGGTGGCGTACATCAAGCGCATGGCCGAGCTGGAGATGCCAGACTCGATCGAGCCAGAAGACGGCCCGCCAGTACTGGACACGACGAGTAGTGACAAGATGGCTGTGGACAACACGGACGCACCGAAGCTGGAGGTGGACACTGGGGCGGTACCAGCGATCAAAACGACGCACGACTCGACACTCGCGGTCGCGGGCCTGTCTGGCGCTGACGATCTGCCCCAGCTCAACTACCGCCGGACACTCAGCATGCGTTCCCCGGGTATGCTGGCAACCGGCCGGCCATTGTACCTGCGGGCGTCAGGTCGCGCGAGGCATCTGCCCAGCTTTGGTGGTATGGGTGGCGCCAAAGGCTCCTCGCTCACCGGCGGCCAACAGCCGCCGGACGTGTACGACGAACTGGACCGGGGGCTCGAGTACGCGCAGTCGATGTGCGAGCACGCGGCGCACCAGTTCCTCCGCGACGGCGATTGCAACGAGGAGATTGGCAATATCAAGCGCCGTCTGATCGAGACGAAAGACATTGCGGACCTCGAGATGGAGCGGGTCAAGAAGGAGGAGCCCGAGGCGCTGACAGCGTTGGACGAGCCGCTCAAGTCGCGGAGCTTCCGGCCACAGACGATGCGCCGAGACGGGCCCAGCATGGCAGCGAGCGCCAAGGAGGCGCTACTCGGAACCTCTGGCCCTGCGACGATTCCACGTACGGCCCCCGGCGCCATTGCTTCGGCCATCGAGGCAGACACAGCTCTCGAGGTTGACGAGGGCATCGACGACATGGATGCCAAAGTGACACCGCCGCTGATGTACAAGTCTTCGCGGATGCGGTAGGAGTGAAACGGAGGCTGACGTTAAACAGAGGCCCTGGGGCAGGAGACGAGCCAAAGACGAGCTCGGGCGGGCGAGCATGACGACGTTGGCGATCCCCATCAAAATGATGCCGAAATCCCCCACAGCACACATTCACCGCTTTCCTTTCCAAACGTTTTCCACATATCTCGCGACATTCATTCGCATCTCCTTTATATGTACATGTCTTTTATTCTTTTGCGTGCTTTCTTTCTTTGCTATCGTTACGCATCGTGAAGGGGCATCTCTGAATAGTTTCCTTTTCCTTTTTTTAGTTATTTTGTTTCGGGTTAGCATACACCTCAGATCGAGGTAGGGACAAAATGGAAAAAAGTATTAATTTGTTTCTCTGACCTTATTAGAACAGCAGGCATGAAAGAATCACCGCGGCGAAAAGCGAAAAGAGAGGCGATTCGATGCGCGGAGGCGCCGGTTCCTTCCCGCGCCGGTTATTGCAAGGAAACAAAGAACGTGGCTAATCGATTCGTCCTAGCCAACTCTCGGGATAATGGGAATTGCAGGTGCTGTCAGCCGCTAACGTAGCGACGCTACAGGGGCCGCCATAACGTACCGAGCTGCCAATACCGCGACGACACTCACACCAACTAACAAGAGCGAAAAAGGAATCTTGAAACTTTCTTTTTTCAACGGCTGCTGATGGCGACGACAGATAGACCACGCGACGCGCTCCTGTTTACGAGCGCGGCCTTTGGTACTGCTTTCCTCTGATTCAGACCCCTATTCTTTAGAAAACATACCTTATTGAGCACAGGCGACCTTTTCTCGCTGAACGTCGTTGACAAAGACCGAAAACCATAAAAAAATACAAAAAAATCTCCGTCACACGCCACACCTTGTATGCCACACATCTCTGCCGCCTACCATGGCGTTCACGATGCACTCCCACTCGGGCCAGTTCTGCGGCCACGCCGTCGACACGCTCGAACAGGTCGTCCAGCGTGCCATTGCGCTCGGCTTCGAAAGAATCGGCTTATCGGAACACATGCCCCGTGCGCACACGAGGGACCTCTACCCGGAGGAGCGTGGCGACGGCCACGACCTCGACGGCAAGCTAGCCGGCCTGGCCGCTCGCTACGATGCGTACCTTGTCGAGGCCGTGCGGCTGCGTGATGCCTACAAGGACAACATCCACATTCTGATTGGCTTTGAGGGCGAGTGGATCTACGGCGCCAACGACGACGGCAAGCGCATCAAGGCGCTGGCCGAGCACCCCGATGTCGACTACTTTATCGGCTCGGTGCATCACGTGGGAAGCCGGGGGACGCCGATCGATTATGACAAGGCCACTTTCCAAGAGGCCATTGACGTGGCGGGCGCCAAGGCAGCTTCGACTTCTTCTTCGTCCACCTCCATTTCTTCAAGGTCGTCTGCGACAGACATCGTCGACCCCGAAGTTTACCTGAATGCCGACTACTACGACCAGCAGCTCGAGATGCTGCAGACGCTACACCCGCGTATTGTTGGCCACTTTGACCTCGTGCGTTTGCTGAGCGCCGACCCGAGTCGCGACCCGTCCACCGCCGCCGGCCTCGCGACGCTCGTTTGGCCCAAGATCCAGCGCAACCTCGCGTTTGTTGCGAGCTACGGCGGCTGGCTCGAGTGCAACACGGCCGCCCTGCGCAAGGGCCTAGCAGAGCCGTACCCCGGGCGCGCCATTGCCGAGGCGTGGCTGAAGCTCGGCGGCAAGTTCACAATGTCCGACGACAGCCACGGCACAGCGCACGTCGCGACCAACTACAAGCGCGGCCTGGCGTTCCTGCGGAGCCTGGGCGTGACGAAGGTATGGACGTTTGAGCGGCAATACACCTCATCCTCAGATGGCACAAAATTAAAAGGCGATCTGGTGGAGAAGAGCGTGTCGCTGGACGACTTTGAGAAGAGTCTGAAAGTGGACGAGTAGAGACGAGTTCAGCCATATATACAGGATACGACACATTGTTCGGCGGCTGGCGTTCGTTTTGACACAAATTATATTATACAGATAGAGCATTGCATTGAATTGTAGTTCCAAGGGCAATACAGGACAAGAAAAAATAAACTGTGGTGGGTTGAGGTCCTTATGTCAAGGCTGTTGTTGCGCTGGCGATTACCGTTGATGAAATGTGGGGGCAGCTGTGTCGCGATTCTGGTTATCGATTGGCGATTTGGTGGGGGTTTTCCAGAGCTTCTGGGAGCTCGATCGTCATGCCCCGCAAAGCGTACCACAATACAGCTTCATCGACCGCAAAACGACGGCCTTTGAACACAAAGCGACACACCCCAAACAATGGCTGATCCCAAAGCTGCAGCAGAGGCCCTGGTGCCTAAGTTTCAATATGAGCGGACGCTGAACCAAGGTAGGTCGTCCAGAGTCGTCCGTTGGAAAGTCACGGCCCACGTCGAGCTGACTTGTTGTTTTCTCATGCTAGACCAGGCCGGCCGCCGCACATCGCTCCTCGGTGCCATTGATGGCCAGCCCGCTCTTCTGGTTCTGGAGCGGGCCCCATTTCCCACGTCGCCCGACTATCTGAGCGCGATAACGGGCAACTTGCGGTCGCTGCGGAACCTCGGCGCGAACGACATATACCACTGGTTTATGGCCGCCGAGGGCGCCAGCAGTACCGGCGACACCAACAACAGCGAGCCCGACGCAAGCGACAACCTCAAAATCAACCTCATTTACCCCTGCACGCCGCAGCACGTCCGCAAGTACAGCCGCCAGGGCGTGCGCCTCGTCACCGAGACGGCCGCCATCTACCGCAACCAGGTGCGCCCTTTTGTCCAGGCGCAACGCGACGCCGGTCGCCTCAACTGGGTCTTCAACATCATTGAGGGCCGCAAAGAAGTCGAGGACGTCATCTTCCGCACACCCTACGACCCGCAGACCACCAACGACCAGGGCTTCCTGCTGCTGCCCGACCTCAATTGGGACCGCTCCACCCTCGAAGCGCTGCACCTGTTGGCCGTCGTCGAGCGCCGGGATCTCTGGAGCCTGCGCGACCTGCGTCGCCGGCACATTCCCTGGCTGCGGCAGATGCGCCAGCAGCTGGTGGATGCCACCGTCAGTGTGTATGGCGGCCAGGGCCTCGAAGCCGACCAGCTCAAGCTGTACGTGCACTACCAGCCAACCTACTATCATTTCCACATCCACATTGTGCACGTCCAGCTCGAGTCGGGCGCAACCCAGGCCACAGGGAAGGCCATTGGGCTCGAGGCCCTGATTGAGCAGCTCGAGCACATGGGCGGCCGCGAGGGCCAGACCGACGACGACGTTGGCATGGATGCAGTTTCGTTGAGCTACACCCTTGGAGAGGCCAGCGAGCTCTGGGCGGCTGTCTTTGGCCCGCTGAAAGAGCAGGAGGCCAAGAAACACGGCAGCACGGCAAAGACATTGCCATGAGAGCCAAGATGAAAATATCGCTTTGATAATACTATGCCAATGCTTGATGCTATTACGATTTGCAACAACGAAACGAAAAACGAAGAGAAAAGAAACAAAAGCATATACATAAAAGGGGGATATACATAATGTGTACTTTGGAGCTTGGAGACGTTTGCGGATGCAACTCGACACAAGGTGACTCCCATCAGCCGGCTCGGCCTGCAAAAGAGCTCATTCAGTTCCTCCGGTACAGCTTCTCCACGTTGACAATTAGATCGTGCACACCCGGCCCCGACGGGCAGTCCTTCCACTCGCCGTCGTCGCGGATGCAGTATATCTTGTTGTCCAACCGCACCGTGCAGCTCTTTGTCACGCCCGCCGCCGCCGTGTGCTGGACGCTGTCCCGCAGCAGGTTCATCGCATACTGCCCGTCGTCCCGCGTTGCGCACTCGTTAAGCGCTGCGAAGTCGACGGCATGCTCCAACGCGCAGCCCTCGATCAGCTCGCGGTCCGGGATCCGGTCATACTCACGCGTGATACACAACGTGAATCCAAGGTAGATCTTCGGGTCAGGATTCAGCTGGTGCGCACAGAGCTCGAGGATGTTACCCATGCCTACACGTCGTTAGAAGTCGGCTCGAAAATACAAAGAAAAGAAGACGAAAAAGAAAAAGACAAAGACAAAACAATGGGAAATGCATACACTCAGCAGGACCGTGCTTGCACTCGACGCCACCGTCGGCTGTTGGCCTGTCTGGGTCAGCGATTGCACTCTTCTCATAGGACGGAAACGTCGACGGATGTCATGGGACTTACTTTCCAACGAAAGAGAGCGTAAAGTTCACTTTGTTAACAACCTGCTGCATCGTGGGAAGCACAAGATCGCGCAGACAGTCCTGCCATGGCACTAATCAGTATTTCGTACAATCTCCCTCATATTGGATTCATAGTCAATGCAGCGACATACCAGCGCATCCGGGCACTTGCTCATAATATGTGCCTCTAATGGCACTAGACGACCGCTGGTGTGCACCGGCCGCGACGCGTCCGGCTTCGGGTCCAGCTTGCTGATTGGTGTCTTTGCCTGCCACACCTCTTCCTTCGTCGCCATAGGGCTCCAGGATGACACCTCGAGCAGGGGTGCTGGCTGTAAGAACATGACCACTGTCAGCCCGATCAAAATCAGCGCGGCCACATAGCCGAAGCGCAGCCGTAGCCGCCGCCGTACGGTCGACGATGTGTAGGGACGCCGCTCCACGGTCGGCTCCACGAGCCCTGCCATCAACCGCTTTTCTTCCATCTCTGAAAAAATGGGCGGGTTTGGTTGCCCGTCACTGTATTAAGGCTGTATGTCCTATATGACGATGACGCAACGCTACTTTGCTGACGGCGTGAGAACTATATCGAAATGGCATTGGTCGGAAAAGAGAAAGGACGCTCGAGGCCGAGAAGCACAAGAGCTGCCGTGAATACCAGACCCCAAATGCCAAATCAAGTTCGGTGTCGGGGCAAGGAGGCCTGGCGTGCCAAAAACTTGATCGAGACGCGGACGGTGGTATCTCGGATGAAGTCGACCGCGTGCGTAATCTCTCGCAAATACACGTGCCGTCAAGGCGCAAAAAAGCCCTCTTGAAAGGTGCGAGAGTATAGCGCCAAGAAACGCGTAATAGGGTACTATGCAACGGAGAGTTTCTGGTCGTCGTTACGTCGGCCGTCTTCGTTTATTCGCTTATTGAGGCTTCTTACACTGCCGAAGCTGGTTCGTTCGTCTGGTAGGTGCAGTATTATTCCGATGAAGCACCTAAATGCTTATTTCTTCAAGGGTGTCTGTGTACGTCGCATTTCGAGCGTCTCTCGTTTGTGAGGAGGATGTGGGATCGACACTAAGGCTGCTGACGGACAACGTCAATCCGAAACGTGCAAATGTAGAAAGACGCGCTTAGAGTGCGGACCTGATCTGGGCGATGCTGAAAGACGAGGTGAGAAAAGTGGCGCGATGTCGTTGAGAAAGGGAGAGACATGTCAACAAAATTACAAAGTGAAGAAAGGCGAAGAATGAGGCAATAGAGGGGAAACGGACACAAGGGCAGGTCCGGACCTGCATTGCAATGGCGAAATTCAGACGAAGCTTCCATAATCGGTTAGTATCCATCACCTGTTGTGTCCCCTGTTCCCCTGGCAGTTTGGCAGCCGTGGCACGTGAACACTCCGCAATCTGAGTTAACTACCGTTCCGGCCCTGGCGAGCTTGCTCCACCAGTGGGTTGGTGAGCCGATGAGGCTGTCTGGCTGGCTTGGTCAGGCGTTCTTGGTGGCCACAGGGTCGTTCTTGCCTCACCAACAATATGTGGCTTTGTTGCCTTCCTCTTTTTTCCCACGGCACACTCGGTGACACAGAAGGTGCAAAGGGGCAAGGGCACCAAACACAGCCGAACTCATGTTTTTTTGTGCACCATCCCGAGGTCTCAAGGAAAGGGCGGCTGGCATTGTTTCCTTTCCTACATCCCCAAAAGTCGGACTAGCTCGGCGTCGAGTCAAAAGCTAGGCACCTCTGTCGCAGGTCCCTAAACTTTTGTAGAGCAGGGGCGCTCGCTGCGTCATTGGCCTGTTGGGCAGGCGCGACCTTTCCTGAACTCAACGCGGGCAGCCTCGACTCACTGCTTCCTTCGCTTGCTCTCCCGTACATATTTCTTCTTGCGTGCTCTTCCCGCCGGCCCTTCTCTTCCTCCCCGATTCTCACTTCGCATATTCCTTCTTAGATCTATCTAGAACTCCCGCAGTCGATTGCCCACACCCGCCGACCAGCGAAACCCTGCAAACGACCCCGTCCCGCTGTCGATCATGGCTGGTTATGCCTGCTGGGCCGGCTGAAACCAGGTTTGTCGAACACGAAATAGATCGAATCGAATAATTTAAGCCCCGACAGTGCTTGCCAGTAGACACGGCAACGATCCAATATCGAACTTTCCCAAATATAAGGGCCCGGCCAGCCTACCTCCAGCCGCGACTCTATTTTGCCAGCTTGCCACCTTTCCTCTTGCTCTCTCCGCTCCGTTTTAACAGTAGCTGGGCTGGCTCCGACTCTTCTGCCTCTTACCAGAACTCGTATTCGACTCACTGTCCTTCCTGCCCCAAGATTCGACATAGCCGCCAAATGCCTGCTACCGCGACCAGCTCCCCTGCCCCAACATCACAATGACTTCCGATATGGCACAGCCCAGCCCGGGCCTCGAGGCTTTCCTTCAGCGGATTCGGGTTGACGAGGAGATTGTCTACAAACTCTCCCGCGAGTTCAGCTCAACCTTTACCCAGTTGGCTGCCGAGTCCATGGACCAGTTCTTGCCAACGCCGATCACGGAGTCAATCTTGCTACCGTTCAGTAAGAATAGGAAGAACCAAGGACGGTGAGATTCCCCGCCTTCCCCAGGAGCCCAGGTAGCGAATGTTGGCTGGTGCTGAAGCTCGATCAAGAAAAAAAAGAGGTACAACCATGCTAACTGCCATGTAACGTTGCGGGCACCACAGATATCTTGCCATTGACATGTATGTATATCCATCTTCCTTCCTGCATCACCAGCACTCCCTGCCTTTAATTCTTATACCGACCGTGATTCTTTGTCTAACTCGTGCTTTAGTGGTGGAACTAATCTGCGGGTTGGCTTTGTCGAGCTGCTGGGTGGCAGCGAACCATTGACAAATGGAACGGGCAAACTGAACGACCTGTCGGCGGATGCGGCACAGACAGAAGACCAGCCGACATTACAGCGACAGGCACAGCCACTGTCATGTCTACGTCGCTTACACGAGCGTAGCTGGCCCATCCAGGAGCACCTTAAGAGCGAGAATGCAGACAGCCTGTTCGCCTGGATTGGCCACTGCATTGCTGATGTCGTGCAGGAGGGTTGCGTGAGCTTCGACCTACCACGAGAGACGACGTTGCCGATGGGCGTTACATTCAGCTTTCCCATGGAGCAGGAATCACTGTCTGAGGCGAAACTCATGGCTATGGGCAAGGGCTTCACGATCTCTTCCCGGTTGGACCTCGGCTCACATCTTGTCGCCGGCTACGACAAGGCGCGGGCCGCTAGTGTCGGCTTTCCCCTGCCGCCCATCACCGTGGCTGCTATTGCCAACGACTCCGTCTCGACCTTGGTATCTTTTGTGTATGAGGTCCCGACACTTGCCAGCCAAAAAGCCGCCATGGGCATCATTTGTGGGACTGGAAGCAATGCAACGCTCTTGTTGAAGCGCAGCAAACTGCATCCGTCGAAACGTCCAAGGATTGCAAACGTTTTGCCAGGCGATGCCGACGCTGCCAATGGCGATGACGATACCAAAATCGCTGTAAACACGGAGTGGAGTATTAACGGCTCCGCAGCACCAATGCGGGCAGTCAAACTAATCAACAAATGGGACGAGGAGCTAAGTGATTCCGTTGAGTTCCCCGGGTTCCAGCCCCTCGAATACATGACGGCGGGAAGGTACCTCGGCGAACTGGGCCGTATCATGCTAGTGGATTACCTGACGCGCATTCTTCATGTGGACGAAGAGGCTATCCCAAGAAAACTGCTCAAGAAATTCGAACCGCACAATACCACATTCCTCAGCCACTATCAGCCGGGGCGGGAGCGGTCACTCTTGGCATTGCTGGAAGCCGAGTTTCCGACAGACGACGTCAAAGCCGGCGGTACGTCAAATGGATTGACAAATGGCCATTGCAACGGCCAACCCAATGGCTCCCAAACCGAGCAGCACATGGACGCCCGTTCCGTGCCTGAGCCGTTCCAATGGACAGAAGAGATGGCTGTGGCACTGTACCACATTGCTAAAGCCATTGAGACGCGTGCCGCGGCCATCATTGCTGCCGCCATAGTCGGGCTCTTGGACTGCGCCGATGAACTTCCAACCCCGGCCCAACACCCCGCACCTGGCGACGCATCCGCGCTCAACCTGGTAGAGCCCAAGTTCGAGCTGGTTGTGGGTTACACGGGCGGCTGCATCACCAACTTTCAAGACTATCTTGCCGATTGCCAAGACTTTCTCGATCGCCTCGTGGCAATGCGATACGGAAATGCAGCGTCATCACCTATCCGGGTTGTCTTGAGCCCATGCCATGACGGTGGCATCAAGGGTGCCGGAATCCTGGTGCCTGCGTCGCTGGCGAGCCAGGGACTCATACAGACCTAAGTTGTGATGAAGCGACGTGGAGTTAAGGGGGGTTTCGTGGATTTTTTTTTATTTTTTTGGGGTTTTAGAGAGCGTGAGCATGGAGATCAGTTGGCTCTTCGCGGTGTGTTCTAGCACGGTTATTTTTTGGCATAGTTTCTTGGGTAACAAGCAAGACAGGAAAAAGACAGCATAGGATCTGGTTTGGGTAGACAGCTCGGGTCATGTATTTCACACTGTCCATTTCGACCATTTGTTTCCAAGGTGTGTTTTGCAACGGTTAGAAGGCCATAGTCGGAATAGACTTTCGGAGAAGATGACCTGACAGTACGACGTGAAAGCTTGAGGACATGTAAGTGAACCTTACCATTTCATAGATGTTTATTAGGTAACAATTTTGAGCTGGTCGCAACCATCCAATTTTAGCTTGGCAAGAAGAATCGTTTTATGCATAGAGGGCCACACGAGGATACGAATAGGAGTGCAGTGGAGGTGGCAGCAAAGGTCAAACGGCAAGGGGATGGGGTGGTGTTTCGGGTTGGCCCGACCAAGCATCTGTCATTGACATCACCCCTGTCGGCGCGCCCTTGAACCTCGCTTTCCTCACAGCGACAGCCCCTTCCCCCCTTTCCATACAACGTTCGACAATTGCTAAACACTCAGAATCGCTCCAGATATTCACTAGGAACTGACCTAGTTATATCTGGCATGCAATCGGTATCAGATGAACAAGCAGAAACCGCTAAAGAAGGCTGAGGACGCGTCGGAGGCAGAAATAGAGACCCCAATCGTCGGTCGGAGAAGACCTACACAAGGCCATGTCCCGCTCGTTGTCCCACCGGTACAGCCTCTCTCTTTTGGCTGCCCCTACGACTCTATCGTGAAACTCGCCTCGGTTCTGAGACGAGTATGTTGTAAGTAGGTGAGTTATTCGAGTCCTACCTTGAGGGGGATTTGGTGCCCACGGTCGTCTGACAATGCATCGCGGGTCGCC